TTTTCACCTTTTAATCGAAATAGCCCAAAAACGGAATCGAAATTAAAAAAACTGGTCCCAACATTTTGTGCGCCTTTAAAGGGCGCACAATTTCAGTTATACCAAATTTGAAAAAAATAATATTTGCTTTCGAAAAATGGTACCCAAGTGTCAAAATTGTAGTTTTTTGTCAATTTACGCCACTTCCAGTGCCGACAGATAACACTATTGGTAACAAAAAAAATGACAATTGAGACAACGGAGCATATGAACTTTGTTTTATACAAATCGAACAATAAATAATTAATCTAGGACTGAAAAACTGAATTAGCCAATGGGGGCCAAGGAAAATTACTGAGACAAAAAATTTTCACATTTTTGCCCAAGTCAGAGGACTCGTTATATTTGTGTAAAACACGACTAAAAAATATTCATAAATAAAAAAGTTTTTTGTAAAAATTTAAATTTTCTAAATTTAGCGCCTAATATCTGCGAAGATTTGCCGAAAATCAAAAATCAAAAGTAGCGTAGCGATGTGCCCCGTCTCCGGCTATGCCAAAATGCATCGAAAATTAAAATCCAATGATAATTGTTAAAATTACTGCAATATTTCTAAAAACGATAGCTTCGGTGATTTCGGACATTTCGCATTGTCGCAGAACGTTCAAAATAGCTTTATCCTCTAAGTCACACCCACTTTTCCAATAAAACCGAAGAAATCGTAACGATCCGACAATCAGTTGCTGAGATCTACTCAAAACAAAAGAATAATAATAATAAGAAGAACTAGAACTGCGAAGCAGTAATGACGGGTTTCACCGGTGCCACGTTACCCTTGAACTTATGTCACTTCCGGTACCAAAATTACATTACTTCCGGTGATAATGAAAATGTTAAATTGGTTTATGAAATCAGAAATAGCATCATCACATGGTGAAAATTTTATGTAAATCCTATAATAGTTGCCACCTTTATAGACCAAAAACCTTGAAAAATGACTTGTAGAAAATCGCCTATTTCTCTGCAACCGTACAAGTTAGAAACCATTTTGAGGTATCTGTATGATCGAATGAGTTCATTCTATTTGTTGATTGGAATCAAATATCATAATTTTAAAAACATTACAAATCTGATTCATTTGAATAAAATATCTGTTTTGAAGGCTAAAAATACAGTTTTTGCCAAAATGACGTTACTTCCGGTGATAATGAAAATCTTAAATTACTTGTATGAAATCGTAAATGGCATTAGGTATCACACAATGAAAATTTCATGAAAATCGAATAATAATTGACACTTTTATTGACAAAAAACCTTAAAAAGTGACCTGTTGAAAATTGCCTATTTCTCCGCAACTGAACAAGTTAGAAACCATTTTGTGATATCTATATGATCGTAAGGGTTCATTGTATTAGTTCATTTGAATCAAATATCAAAATTTTAAACAAATAACAAATATGACTCATTTGAATAAATTACTGGTTTCGAAGGCTATAAATACAATTTTTGCCCAAATTACGTCATTTCCGGTGATATTGAAAATGTTAAATTGGTTTGACCTAGTTAAAATTGACATTACACATCAAATGGTGTCACTTTTATGAAAATCGAATAATAATTGACTCTTTTACAGGCAAACTAGCGTAAAAAGTGACTCATGCAAAATTGCCCATTTCTCGGCAACTGCGCATATTACAAATTAATTTTCACATACATTCTCTCCGTATAGATTATTGCTACGAGTTTATGAAAGTTACGAAGTAATATTTTAAAATATGAAAACGCTGGATGGGTTGTAAATAGCTTAATTTTACACCTTTTTTCACCTTTTAATCGAAATAGCCCGAAAACGGAATCGAAATTAAAAAAACTGGTTCCAACATTTTGTGCGCCTTTAAAGGGCGCACAATTTCAGTTATACCAGATTTGAAAAAAATAATATTTGCTTTCGAAAAATGGTACCTAACTGTCAAAATTGTAGTTTTTTGTCAATTTACGCCACTTCCGGTGCCGACAGATAACACTATTGGTAACAAAAAAAATGACAATTGAGACAACGGAGCATATGAACTTTGTTTTATACAAATCGAACAATAAATAATTAATCTAAGACTGAAAAACTGAATTAGCCAATTGGGGCCAAGGAAAATTACCGAGACAAAAATTTTTCACATTTTTGCCCAAGTCAGAGGACTCGTTATATTTGTGTAAAACACGACTAAAAAATATTCATAAATAAAAAAGTTTTTTGTAAAAATTTAAATTTTCTAAATTTAGCGCCTAATATCTGCGAAGATTTGCCGAAAATCAAAAATCAAAAGTAGCGTAGCTATGTGCCCCGTCTCCGGCTATGCCAAAATGCATCGAAAGTTAAAATCCAATGATTATTGTTAAAATTACTGCAATATTTCTAAAAACGATAGCTTCGGTGATTTCGGACATTTCGCATTGTCGCAGAACGTTCAAAATAGCTTTATCCTCTAAGTCACACCCACTTTTTCAGTAAAACTGAAGAAATCGTAACGATCCGACAATCAGTTGCTGAGATCTACTCAAAACAAAAGAATAATAATAATAATAATAAGAATAATAATTTTAACAAAAACAATAGTGTTTCACACAAGCTACGCAGTGTGAAACCCTAATAATAATTTTAACAAAAACAATAGTGTTTCACACAAGCTACGCAGTGTGAAACCCTAATAATTTTAACAAAAACAATAGTGTTTCACACAAGCTACGCAGTGTGAAACCCTAATGACAGGCACTAATAAAGGAATTGTACCTCATCATACACCCAGGCTAAGTGTCTGACATTGTCAGTGACTAGTGCCTTAATTTCAAGGCTTGTTGAGAAAAAATATGTTTTTGACTACTCACTATTACTTAGCTAGCCTGTTATTAGTGCAAGATAAGGCAAACTAGAGTTGCTTTTTTTTTTTAAACCACATTTCAGAAACCATGAAATGCTCTATTGACTTTATATTAAAAATTGGTGAGAAAGTATATATCATTTGAGAGGTTGTAAACAAGACACTGCCCTGTTGATATACATGTAGTGTAGATTGTGAAGTGTGTTTAAGTGATTATTTGGCGAAGTTGTTATATAGTTACATAATAGTACGCTTAATTACTAACTTACACTGATGTAAGTCTAGTTGTAATATGTTTATATTATTAACATACCTTACATTCTAAACAACACTTATCTTTTACCTATATATATACATGTATATATATATATATATATATACCACTTTTACTTTTGTATTTACAATTAGCAATTAGGAAACTGACAAACTGTACAAGTCCATGTAAACAGTACATGCTAAGGAAGATAGTACATGTATGTGGGTTGCAAACATTTTTTAGGGGTATTTGGCTTGACTTTAGAATCTGTCCAACACTTCTATTTGCTGTACATAGCATACTTACTACATTATGTTTGGTTTGGACAGGGCATTGCATATTCCCACACTTTGAGTGAGTTAAGACACCACATGGTATTAGCCATAGGTAATTCCCAATAGTTAAATTTTCCATATGGAAATTTTCTGTCCATCTGACCCCACATCTTGGCATAGGTTAACTTTTATTTATTATATTTTTAATAAAAATTGTTGGACAGATTTAGTCTTTTCTCTTTGTGTTTATTGAATTTTATAGTTTGATCACATTAAAATATGAAAATGTTATTGGTATCTAATGTTAGTTTAATTTCTAACCAGTTAACCTCAAATCATTGAATACTAAACAAGAGTTGAGTTTAAGTTGAATGTCTGCCAATTTGTAACACAGACGCTCATTGCTTGTGTCACGTGTGTACATGTACCTAAGGAGAAGGCATTACTTGATTTGCAGAGAATTCCAGTAATACATGTATACGAGAGCATTTTATTACATACACAAATCAACAAATGTTGTTACCGTTTGTCAAATAAAATGTTTCTTGTTTTATTTCATACACGTGTACACATAAGAAATCATTTATAGAGTGCTATACATGTTTAGTTCTGTACAATAAAAGTCCATCACTAGTTTGCTACGAAACATAATGTCTAAATGTCTTCACTGAGTGAGGTTTTGATTGTCGATAAGAAAAGGCATTTTTTTGAGATGAATAGGAAGATGGTTCCTGTTTTTAGTTGCTGTGTATTGAAATGATCAGACTCTAAAAGATATTAACTTATGCTTGAGAATGGTTTGTAGAGATTTGTCATTTGATTGAAAGGTTTCAGATGAAGAATGATGATGAATAAGCTCTTATTGATATGATGGTGTCAATTTCCATCTAATCCTAACAAAACCAATCTTACAATACTTTTAATGTGAAAAATTTCAAGAAATGTGTCTCGTGACAAGCAATCTGAGACAACTCGTCAATCATGGGTAATTCTTCATACTAATACAAGTACCGGTATTCATTTAACCAGATTTCATCTATCCGATTGGTTACATGTAGAGGTGTCTGGTTAGACAAAACTGGTATTAGGTCTGCATTTTTTCAGGGAATCATGGTGGCTAAGTGAGTAAGATGCTGGCTCGCTAGTCTGGAGGTTGCGGGTTCGATCCCGGTGTTGGACAAGAAAGTTCATCAGGATTTTTTGGCGTGGTTTCCCCTTGTCAGTGGTGCAGGACGGAGTGTCTGACAAGGACAGCTGTCTAGTTGTTCAGATGGGATGAAAAACCGAGGTCTCGTGTACACATTGGCATGCATGTAAAAGATCCCTTGGCAGTTGTAATTCGATACAAAATTAGTCCGTAGAGCCGCTGTCCGGGCAAAAAGTTACCTCATAGCCCACTGTATAGTATAAGCCCGTATTCATTAGACCAGTCGGAGCAGACCAGTAGGATGTTAAACCCCATTTCATTTTATTGACATTTTTTCAGCCAATCAGATAAATTTCCATTCATTGGCTGGTATCAAATGCACCCACTACAAATTCAGAAAAGTTACCTCCATTTGTTTTCATTGAAGATTTTAATGAAGGAAATTAATTTTTTTATTTTATATTTTTCAGTTTGGGTGTGTGATTGACCATACCTATATGGAGTTTGTACGGAGTACAGGAGACTACTGCCAGGCTCAGCACGAGTAATAAATCGGGTCACGACCTAACATACATCGTAACGGTGCTGCACAAACTTCTAGTTCTTTATTCTGATTGGATGTAATACTGGGAGGTGTATTCAACCCCAATCTATACAGATCAATTGAATGGGGTAAATCGCCCGATTAAATAGAGTGATTATAAACGCCCACGTGTCTTTCAAACCGTAGAGGTAATATAAATAGCATTGCCGATTGCAACTGCAATATTTGTTTACGTCGACTTTTAAATTGGGCGGAGTCACAGACACATTGATTACCTTATTTGGAATAATAAATTGGATTAATTGATACATTTTGTTCAAATATTTGAATCATCTGTGCTCTATATATATATATATATATATACGTGAACTGTATTATTTGCAACAGTTGAACGTGTGTGTGTTATAAATCGTTTAGAATAAGTCTCATTGTATTTTTATCATCTGTTCATCCATCAGCCATCTTGAAGTGACCTGTATAAATATTTTTGTAATTATTTTGTCGTAAGTTTGTTGTGCCTATTTCTCTCTTCCCATTGTGTGTTATTGTTCATTCAAATCTGTGGTGTAGTAATATTATGACAGCAATGAAGTCTCGACGCCCCGAACCAGCAGAAATTGAATACAAAAATATGCGATTCCTGATCATGGATCGCCCTACAGATGCTACGATTGATAAATTTATTGAAGTAAGTACATGTACATGGTTTATAGAAATACAATAACTTCTTTGAATGACATTTATATGTAGAGGTATAATATTCACACAACTTTATCGATTTACTACTTCTTAAAGATACAGATTAGATTAGATAAAGAGCTGGCAGTTCTCACTATAATAGTTAAAAACTAGATAATGTAAAGGGAATTTGCTGAAAATTTATGTCAAATTGATCCACTCTGAACCGAGAATTTAGCGATTGAATTTTTGGCCTGGCCTCGATCATTATTACTAAAGTCAGTACGATAAAAATCATAGTCTCGATTATCCATTTCATATTTTTATCATGAATGAAAGTTGAGCAGCAAATCGGATCCTAATCCAATAAATATTGCAGGCTAGCGATGACAGCGAGAGTTGATTAGGGTCTGGATTAGTTAATTAATGTCTAATTTATAATTTCGTTAACATTTCAGGCCAAAAGAAAAACCTGCAATAGGCAGATTTAGCTCTTGCATAATGTATGTTTAATTAGTTCAGGAACATGTATCTTTATCAAGTAATGATCAATTAATGAATAACAACCATACATTTATAGTACATCCATGAGTAAAACAATTTAACAATCAAACCATCACATAAATAAGACTTATAACAATAACCATTTTCCTTTGAATATGACTTCAAATTATACACGTTTTGTGTGACATTTTGACAAGTATTCTCACATCATTTGTGCTTGAACAGGAAAAAGAACATTTATAAACTGTCAAATGCTTTTAATTACAAAATTGAAATATATATTCATCACATGTCCCACTAATGTTTTCCAAGTTACGGCTTTGGGCGTTTTTCCTATTTTAGAATGTGGGCCCTTATAGGACAGATCACTATTCCCTAGCAACTTAAGACTTTATGAGGTCAGAAGCAAAATAGAAAGTATTAGCTAATTTTCACAAAATATTTGCCTTTGTTTTTAGCCTAATAATAGTAATATCCTCATTCAGGATTAAAGCCCGAAAACACACAAAATTTCGGAATTCAAGTTATCGCTTCTACTCAAATTATTGAAGCAGGATAACAGGAAGCCATGTTGAAACTTGTTTCCAGTAAACCTAGTACTGTCTGAAGCCTCTTTCGTATAATTTAATCAAGTTTTAATTACCTGCCATTTTGCTGAACACTTTGAGGTCAAAAGTTAGGATTAGAGGTACACATGTTACAATAGGTCAAAATTACTTCAATCTCGTTTGACCTCACTTATTGTAGTTTTTAGTCTCAAAATAGTATAGTTTTGATGAAATTATAAACTTCATTCTATTTCTAATCAATAATAATGTTTTGTTTGCAGGAGTTACACAAACGAGGTGTGAAGGATGTTGTTCGAGTCTGTGAACCAACTTATACTGTTACTAAACTAGAAAACGAAGGCATCCGTGTTCTGGTGAGTAGTATCTTTAATTTACATAACATGATAAGCACGCTATCTAGAATAAGTTGCTGTGAGAAATGTCACAGTGAATTTGTAATCAAACTATTGTATGGCTTTTCACCATGACACTTGATCCACTACACAAGATAACCTAACTTGCAATAGATACAGTAGGAAATATAGTGCATGAAAAGATTAAAGGACAATATTGGTGTCAGTCTTATAACATATGTGATAGAACTGGTTAACATGTTCCAAATATAATTTTAACACGGAGATCATTGCTACGATAGATGCGTTATGAAGCATTCAAGAAAGGGAAGTGACGAACGCAAAAGGAAAATGAGTTGTCCTTCTATACATGTATAACTGAAGTGATGAGTGATAACAAATTCACGGGCGAATTTCTGCTCACCAATAATTCCTTTGAAGCCCAAAAGTTGTTATATAAGACTGTAGGAGGATATCTGACAATTGACTGTCACTAGATAAGAGAAAAATAGAAAACCGTGCATTACCATGTTTTTATTACGTATAGAATGAATAAAAAAAGGGAATGTACAGGCTATTTTTATAGAGACAGGATTATGACCTTGAAATTTGTATTTTTGTAGGATTGGCAATTTGATGATGGAAAACCACCACCATCTGCTGTAGTTGATGATTGGTTTAATTTATTAAAATCCCGTTTCCGTGAAGAACCTGGTAGCTGTGTTGCAGTTCATTGTGTTGCTGGTTTAGGACGGTAAGTAGATAGATAAAAATACAAGGTAAAATATAGAGCAACAATACAGTATAACTTGTCCAATTTATGGCAAAAGTCCCAACTTGTAGAGACCAGAAATTGGTAAGAGACTTCACTGACTACTGACCTGTTTCAGTTTTGTAATTCTGGCTTTGCAAATCCCTGGACTTTGGGTTGAAGAGGTTTAAAAAATGGCTCCGGTTCCATAACCTTACTCTGGATTACCTGTACAATTAAATACAACTCTTATGAAGCTTACTGTTTATTAGACTGAATTTTATTGTTTTTTGACTGCCAAATACTTAATGATCTGCTCCAAATATTTAAGTCTTGAAATTAACTTGAGGCAGTTGAGCAAGATGCTGAAAAACTAGAAGTTGATTTGCCCTATTAGAATTGCAGACTAGTGATATTTAATATTTGTTATTATAAATATCTCCAATATCGTTCAGATATTCCATTTAGAATCATTTACAGGTTGTAGACTTGACATGTTTATTAATTAATATGTAATGTATTACAGTGCTCCTGTTCTAGTAGCTTTAGCATTAATGGAAAGTGGTATGAAATATGAAGATGCTGTAGAACTTATTAGAGGGTAGGTCAAATTTATTCTTAATAACAGCTTTCAAATTTTCATTGGTTCTTAGAAAACAGTTGAATTATGCAAACCAAATTCCAAAAAGACCATATAATATAATGCAATATTCTCATCCTCAGATAACACTACATCACTTAAAATGGATGGCATGAAGAAATAGTCTATATACCTTGTCTGTACATGAAGAGATAGTCTATGTACCATTTCTGTACACGAAGAAATAGTCTTATGTTCATTGCATTGTCTGTACATGAGGAGATAGTCTATGTACCATGTCTGTACATGAAGAAACAGTCTATGTTCCTTGCATTGTCTGTACTTGAAGTGATAGTCTATTTTCCTTGTCTGTACATGAAGAAATAGTCTATTTTCCTTGTCTGAAAGTTAACCCCAGATTTTCAGCTGTTGGGAACAGTAATAAAAACACAGCAAAAACCTGCAAATACTTCCTTGATAACAAATGTTATTAATAAGTTGTCACTGCACAGTAGACTGATTAATCCGGCACACTGTGATGGCTGGTCAAGAAGCTTATCTCCAACTCCATCTGATAACTGGATGTTTGAATTTCTTTGAAATCGTATCACACTGGTTCAGCTATTTTATTTAGAGCTAAGATAAATGTTTTGAAGAGGCCTCTAAACACTGCATTCAATGTGTACCCTCTACCTGTATACGGTTAATAGGGAAAGGAGAATGCTACAGAAACTAAATGCTGTTAATAGTCATACTTGATACTTTCGTCATCAAGTCCTTTACAATATCATTTTACATAAATTTATAAATCAGTTGTCTTGGAATTGTATAAAAATTAAAGAGAATTTTGCTAATTATTTCTTTTCTTTTTTTATTTCAGAAAGCGACGAGGAGCCATCAACGCTGTACAACTATCTTTCCTAGAACATTACCGTCCTAAAGCTCGACTCAAACTAAAAAATAACGGGCATAAATCCTGTCGCATCATGTGACTTCCTTGACTAGTTTGATTGGTGGAAAACATCATCTCTTTTTGTATTGCAGAGTTTCCTTGCCCCTGACAATCGGCCTTGTTAATGAATTTTGTGCGACATCCATTTACATGGTTGGCTATTTTTCGAATCATTATTCAGTAATCCATATTTATTATAAACTGACTGTAGTCAAGAAAGATCACTCTGCATTACTTACAAGAAAAGTTGCCATTGTGCTGTATTCTACACTCTACAATCCTTGTCATCCAATGGACAGCCTTGTTTTATGTTCCATAGTAATCTTATTGGTTAGCTAATAGGAAACCTTGTTTTATTGGTTCGTTGGATTAATTGTAATTTACTATTTGTTTTAAGGTATTTTATTGAAGGAATTGATATAAAATGTTGCCAAATTCATTGGTCTTGCTCTTTGGCATAGCTATGGTTCAAAACAACTGTTATTCTTGGTATGACAAAAAACAGGTCTGGTGGTAGTGTATGCATGTGATCCCTATGCTGTTTGAATTCCAAGAATAATGTCAACAAAAGTGCTGCTGTTGATCAAAATTCTCTCCTAGACATTTCAAATGTAAACATTGAATTAATGCTGAACAAAGCATTTTGTTGGCTAGACTAATATAAGTGCCATTCTTTCCCTTTCTTCTTATTTTTGGGATATAGATAAATGTAGGTTTACAGATCGGAAATAAGCTGTACATGACAACATCATGATGGACAAGATATATTGTCCAGATCTGGAGTTAACAATTTTAGGGCTCTAGGACAATTCGTCCCTGAACAACTCGTCCCTGAGGACAATTCGTATCGGGACTATTAGTCCCATAGGACTATTCGTCCCCGGACAAATCGTCCCCATGGACAATTTGTCCCCAGACTATTCGTCACCTAGGACAATTCGTCCCCTAGGACAGTTTGTCCCTGAACAACAATACTGGTAGTTCCATTACCAAAAACTGAATTAATCTTTACTTTTTATTCTAAATCTCAGTTTTGATGCTAGTTTTACTTCGTTTTATATTTAGTATTAAATCTAGGCCTTAACTTAATTGTTCCTGAAGTTTTTTCGGGCAAATTGATATGCATGTGTAGTAATCAGCTATGGTCAGTGACACCTTTTGTGAGTTAGAGAATCTATTTATCCCTTGTCCATTGTCAACACTGCACTTGACTTATAATCAATATGCATTATTGTGTATGATAAAACAATGTAGACCAGACATCAGTTAGTTTCAACTTCTTCAATTTCTTTAGAATTAGCTGTTGATCATACTTAGTGGATGAATAGACCTAGGGGACGAATTGTCCTTGGGGACGAATAGTCCTAGGGAACAAGTTGTCCGGGGACGAATTGTCCCGTACCCCAATTTTAGTTGTTTCTGGCAGAATATCAGACTCTATTAAAGTTGTCCTTGACAACATTTTTAACTTTCGTGTCGGACTTGTATTCAAAATATTTATAAAATCATATCAAAAAGACAAATCGGTGCCCCAGATAAAAATGCCAGACACAAAGATGAATTGTGCCAGACAAAACCTGAATTTTGTTCCTGACAGTGCCATTCACAGGTGGCTTAATTTCAGGCATGTAAATGTCTAAAGTGAATCATGCTGTTAGCTAAGTGAACTCACATCTCTCATAGATTTAGATCAATATATTTGCTCCAGGGATAAATTTTGTTCTGTACCATTGTTATGAACCAACAGTGTTTTAAATGTAAAAATCCTAATACACTGTAATCATTAATTGCTTTATGTGGATATGTTTTGTTCAATTATTTATTTTTCGTCAAATAAATTAAAATACGAATTTGTAATTATTATTAAAATGTATTTTTAAAATGCGATTTGAAAAAAGATCTTGTTAAACCATAATTATGCCAAAATAATGTTTGGTAATTTATGCTTATTTCACAGATTTTTAACATCTTAAAATCTGACTAAAGCTGCTATTTTGTCAAATGTTTTCTTGCAGTTTTATAATGATGGAATCAGAAAATATTTTCTTTATTCGTATTCATTTATTATGGTAATAGATAATTCAAATAGTATTTATTTGCATAGAAAAAGACAGCCATTTGAATTGTATATAAAAATTGGACTATGTAACCATGGTAATGTCTTTTTTCTGCTTTAAATTGTACATGGGATAAAGTCTATTAAATCTGATGGGTCTCTTTGTCTATGCGTTAAATCAATGCAGACCCCCTTTTCTCTGATGCATGTTTGTCAAAATTATCTGCATTCATTATTTCATATTAAACAATCCAATGCAATGTTGGATGTTTTCACCATTGCTTTTAAACTACTAGACTATTAACTAGTCCTTTGTGGATATTACTCTATCGCTAAAATCCTTGGAAGACATGGAATATAGAAGCTTATGTAAATTAGGGTTGCACATGCAATATGAATATTCATTATTAAACCAATTTTTGATGAAATCCTTTTAAATAAAATGATACCAAAACACTGGTATATATAAAGGAATACACAACAATATACCAGCCTGTGTTAAACTTCATGTCTAGATATTGTCTGCTACTCAGATTAGAGTGAAACGTGGCAATTCAGACACCAGAGAAAACCAGTGTCCATTGAAAACCGGCACAATTTTCTGATTTTTTATTTTTATTTCTTAGCTGCTCAACCAATATAAACCTGCACCAACATCACATGTTTTAGTCGCAAATAGCTAAATTCATATGTTGTGTCGATTTGGTGAAGTTACACTGTTTATGGGAGTCACAGTGTACATGGGTTAACTTGTTAATATAAATTTGTTTTTGCCTTGAACAGACGGCATGAAAATAAAATCCACATGGTGATTATGGCCGTCTTAACATGACTGTGAAACTGACATTTGAATAAATTTTCATAAAAGTGTGACTTTTAATTGACAGGTGAATTGAAGTGTCATAAATAAAGGGAGGGAAGAAGGGGTTGTTTCTTTACTAAATTGGTTTCCATTTGCCTTAAATCTCAATAGTAAATGAAAATCCATTTTCATATGAACTGAAATCTAGATACATGTAGATGAATTCTAATTAGTTATCATTGTTCTCTGTTCCATTATATTTATCTAGAATTTCAGTTGATATTGATTGTAAGGTATCTAAATCTTTATAATTTCAAAATTCTACTTTAGGTGATATGTGATATACAGTAAGTCCAATATAATTCATTGAAATTTTGACATTTACTAAAGGTGATATTACATAAGAAGTAAGCAAATGTATAACTAATGAATTTATTCCAAGAAATTATCAAATTGGATACTAAAAAGAACTTGCAAGTGTTTATTTTGAAGGATTGACATGAATAAATAAAATGTATTGGCCTTGCGGTATATCCAGGGTTTAAATTGTACCTTAAAGGATATTGTTACTTTTACTGGATTTTAGTTACTATATTTTGAGTGATAATGGCTAATGGGGTTTTTGTGTTTTAGAAAAGATGTAATGATATGTAAAATGTAGTTTATTTCAGTTACAACAATTATTGTCAGTTGTATAGTTTTATTCAAATGAAATTTGACAATAAAAACTAATTTTTATGTTTGAGTTTGTTTTGGTTTTTTGATTAGACTGCCAAGGGTCATTGGGGGCACAGGCAGTGGGTGAAATGTTGGATTCATGAAGTTACCACTTCCTATATATGCCCTCTTTGATCTGGCCCTTCCTTGACCTATGGACTTCCACTGCTGACCTGGGAGAAAATTAGATGACCGCAAACACATTTTATTTGTATTTCGGCCTGTGAGTACAACTACTAGAAAATGGTCCAAAATAGCCTTATTTATGTGGTTTTGTACCCGAAATCCCACTCTATGCCTACCTAAATTCCAATCAATAAGCCTGTTTCTGTTGCATTCACCGGACACCAGAAATTTCACTTCCTAATGATGAGGCCAAAAAAAATGTCACAATGTCACACACAAAGCAGAGGGACTACTCCAGAAGGGTGCTACAGACACTTTATTTCACTGATTTTAAAAGTTTTAACATTTTAGTCAATACAAAGAAATTTCAATTCCCACAAAATTTATGAAACAAAAAATGATCAATGCCTGATAAATGTTGCACAAATCAGACTAAATCCAGACGAAATGGTAGCCTTCACATTCGTGTATATTATCATGTAAATTGCTGACTAGAAGGCAAAATAGTTTTTTTTTCTAAAGAAACATTAGCCTAAAGGAGGCAAGTCATTAACTCAATATCATCCACTGTATTCGACTTTGCAAACACGATTTATTGGTCAATTTAAATCAACATTGATGTTATATCTTACCATAAAAAGATGGGCTTCTGATACCCAATATTTAAGACAAAATGAAAATATTAAAATTGACGCGCGATTGTAATGAAGCGACTCAATGATCAAGGCTGAACATATCCCACAGGAGAATACTACTGGTGTAGACTGGAATAACCTGACACCAAAGACTGCTATTCAAGTTGGACTCGCGTATTTCGCCAAACATAATTACAGTAAAAACAGAAACGATTGAATGTAGATCAGTTTATATACATTTATATTACATTATTATATGTGTTGCGACCCATTTGTGTCCATTTCTAGTTACCAAAGAATAGAGATTTAGCTCCTTTAATTTTTTCCACTTTTCCCGTATGCCGAACAAAAATTGATCGTCCAAATAATTTCTGATGCAGTTTGGTTCAGTGAATTTAGTTATCCTCGAAATTACGATGATTTCAATTTAAATGCCATATTGCATACAATTAATTTCAAATAAATTCGGATGGAACTATTTGCTATTTGTTCAGGAAGTGAAGGCTACGACTAAGACCAACTCAGTGAAAATGAAAACTGTTTTCTTGGTCCAGAAATGATTAAGGGGAGATAAGTATATAAATTGGCAGGACTCTCGTTTGGACGCAGACTAGTAATTCTCTCCCCATTGACCATGTTAAATCAATTGAATCAATGACATTTCTTGGCCTATCACTTTTTTGTTTCTGAACATTCCGATGATCTTTATAACCACAAAAAAACACCAACATGTCACAATCACTTGATAAAGATATTGAAGAAGATTTGACTTTTTGCTAGGCCTGGTCAAAGGAATTCGATAGGGTCATGTTAGTAATAGTAGGCGATCACCCTAATCCACGTCGGTTTACTTCTTGAACTTTCTGTCTCAAAATCATGACCATTCACCAAAACCTGTAAATTTAAATACTCGTTTTCCATTCTATGCCGAAAAGTCAACAAAAATTGTCATGCAAAAGGTTTGGGGGAGAAAGAAAGAATTGCTATAAAAATAAACGCACTACAGTACTTACCGGTACCGGATATCCGCTTGCTTTTTAAATGAAGATTGTCCAAATTGTTCTTACATTCGTTATATCCATGGACCTTAAAAGTTCTTTAAATATATATGGTTCATGAATTAAAGGATTATATATTTATAAAATGATCTATATAACACTCTGTCCCTGAATACGTATAGGCCTACTAATAGTAATAGACGGGAGAGAATTTGCCAAGGAAGATAGTCGGTCGTATTCAATGCATGGATTACACGAAGATTGAATTTTATTGGGAGTGGTACGCACCCTTAATTTCCGCCTTGGTTCCATCGTGAATTTCATCCTCCCATCCTATGATTCAGAGTGGCCATCCAAGCTTTTTTTAGTCACACAGGGGTCCCCAACATGGTTTAAATTGGGGGGACATATAAATGTGCACAGTACCATGCACCCTCAGCTAATGGACTAATAATTGTGGCAAATTGGATCAGTGGCAGGGGAACTACATTTTGACTGGTTGTATGACTTTAAAATTCTAAGGGATGCGGGAGCGCCCCCCCCCCCCCTACACAAATAGGGTCGTTTCTAGCATATCGGCGGGAATACTAGATAAATTATACACATGGCGACTGAAATATATTGGCCTACATGGCCGTTCATGTTATATTGGTTCACATAGCTCTATTTTGAAGAATGCAAAATTAGCTATATAAACTTCAAAATGTGGGTTCCCGCGCCACTGGCAATGTACCTACCAATACGTGAATGCTCGTTTTTTTGTCCCACCCGTACAGCTAGACCCATCTTCTTTGTCGAGGTCTGGCAGACAATAGTCTTGAACCCTTTGTTTAGTAAGTTTCCACCACTCTAAACGTCGCCATAAGGCCAGCTGTTTCAGAAACCCTAACCCTAACCCTAACCCTAGCCCCATAAAACATAAGGGGTACCTTTTTGTGAATACAAGATACTATAGGCTAGTAGTAGTATAGGCCTTGATTTAGCACTTGATGAAATTTTGCTGGATAAGTTAATATTATTAAAGTTAAGTTAACTTTTGCTGAATAAGAAACATGCAAAACTGTGATCTGAAAAATTATTATTACATGCACATTGGTTTATTGTGCGTTATTTATTGATTCTAATAGTATTACGGGAGTCGTGTGTCATCGGCCTTAAAACCGTTATGATGTACCATAAAAACACGTGGTGTGCGATGAAAAACGTACTTCCGGTATGATTTACTTTCAATTTCTTGACATACAAATAGGACCAGCCAAAATTCTTGCCATAAGAAACAACTAGAATATATACCTGACAAAAGTCAATCAATTCCGATCAATGACAATCAGTGAAATCAGTGTAAACCACAAAAGTGCTAAAATCAATGTAAACATCGAGTCACGTGATCAAGAAAATAAAATGGCGGTGACGAGCATTCCGTCGTGAGGACGAAGTCGATGAAAAAGGATTTTCTATGTACTTACCGACGCCGATCAATATTTTGAAGGTAAGCATTAGGGTTTTAAATTATTAGAGAATTCATGAACAGAATTTATCTTTGCAAGGTACCAGGATTAATGGATGCAAATCGCAAATGAATTCACAGTGTTTATAAAGAAATTGTTTCCCTTTATTGCTATGTGTATCGAGTGTGGCACAGGTCAGAGAAAACAGTGTAATTGTCTTTTAGGTATTTCGGCATTGTCAAATGCTTTGTGCTTCTGACTTAAATTCTGACCTAACAACTCGGAAAAATCAGCTTAATCTGTATTATTAGTCAACTATAATAGGCTATTTATTATGTTGAAATTGAATAATATTCTAACAATGTCATTGGTTGCATCAGTTTTGATTCCAACCATCAAGAAAATGAATGTTGAGTACAGTCTGCCAACCTATTACAAACAGTCCAGATATCCAATTAGAAGTGGTTCCACCACTGATGTCTCCCACCTTACTCCAGCCACAGTAGTGGCCAGTGCCGGACTGGTGTGCCAAAGCCCACCTGTCAGGTCATTGACCAAGGCCCACACAAGTATGCACCGAAGGCGCATCATGAGCAAGCCGATGTCGGGCCTGGGGGAGGGGGGTTTTCCCCCCAGGAAAATTTTTAAAATTGACAACCTCAAACCTATTTCCAAGCATTTCAGACCAAAACTGAAGAAGGCAAATTTTTGATTTCCTGATACAATTGAATTATAACAGAATGACCTAAGAGCACTGTGACTATCATTAGATGAATTTGAGAATTCTCTTCAGTGTCAAAAACAAAAACCTTTTATTCTCCGTGATGAAAATAATGCAAATTATAATATACATACAGTACACGTATTTGACAGTTCTGTTGACGCACATCACAGAATATAGCGAGAATCTTTGAACTCACAGAAGTAAACGAATATCATCATAAGCTCATGAACCTCACAAGCTAATGATGATATTTGTTTACTTCTGTGATGATAACTGATAATTGTTCTCTAAAGAGGTAACAAATTATTTCTTTAGCTTCAAGGATAGTCAAAGTAATCTTCAGGTCTTTTAGATTGATGGCAATGTTTGTCAGTCATTTTTTTCCTATCTTTTCTTTCGCCAGTCCTGTGTCCTGTCCTCTCCTTCCTTCTTTCTTTTCTCCCCCCCCCTCTCCTTTCTTTCTCTTTTTCTTTTTTCTTTCTCCTTTTTTCTTTTTTCTTTATAGGCTTAGGCCCACTTTTTTTAAATGAGCTTAGGCCCACCTGTCACGGACAGGTGGACAGGTGGGCCCAGTCCGGCACTGGTATCGGCTCGTCCTACAGACTAACAGAGTTCCTTTGCGCAAGTATTTTTGGCAATTGACTACAAAAAGGTTACTGGCCTATAGCTCCCTTAATTTACACATAAACTGACCCAAAACAGTACACACATAGCTTAACATATAATAAATCAATTCCCATTGAAATAAAGGTGAAGCCTTACCGCATAGTTATATGATGTGATGAAACCCAACTGCTAGGCGAAATTTCAACTGGTCGGTGTCATGACGGCTTGCGTAATACGTCATTACAAGAAACATCGCTATGCAAATGTAGAACGCATAACCACAAAGAAAAACTGTTTGGTAACTATTTTAGTGGTCCAGTCTTCACTATTTGTCATAGAATTACTTATTCCAATACAAACTGTAATGATATGTGTTGACAATTGTGCGTTTGAACCTATTTGAACTTGCGTAAGGAGTCTTAGACTGTATCAATTGTAACGTTAAACACACAGTTTAACGTTACAAGTATAGTAACTAGTATCCAATATCCAACAAAGGTAGTGACAGTCGTGTGGGCTTCTTAAATTTTTAAAACCATGCTAAAAATAGGTAGCACGTCATTGACATTTCGGTCCTGCATCATTTCGGACTCAACATGACGGTTTGGACTTTACTTGACGACTTTTCGGACTCTGTCTGGCGACTTTTCGGACTCTGTCTGGCGACTTTTCGGACTATGATGAATGATTAAAAGACTGTTGAACATTTTTGTGATATATTTGTCCGATAGTTGTTTTGTTTTTTTAATTGATCGGCCATTCTTGAGACCTCTAATAAAAAGATAACACTGATTTTACACGGCTTGTTATATTTTTTTTTTATTTCATCGGCTAGTATTGAACTTGACAATACAATATTGTTGAAAATTTGTGTATATTTTGTAATACTGCTAATGTTTTTATAATTGTGAAAGCCAAAATGGCTTTTACGTGAGTCAGAATAATCGAATCAACCCACGGCCGCCATTATCGCTGATTGACAACTCACTTTTTTCCTCGTCCACTAAATAACTGTAAGGTTTCTTTGCGCATACTACAATAACATAGGGATTATCGGTTAAACAGCTTTAATTAGCCATATTGATCGTTGCCATTTCTAATATTTTTCAAAAAGAGTTCTTTGTTAATTTACCGATTGGTACTGCTATCTATGGCAAGCTTGTCGAGGAATGCGTGTCAACGTGTAGCTTTCGGATTATCGTTAAAACATTCTAGGGGCTTGTAAAAGCAGTGCATGTCAAGTAAATATTTACTTTTGTTTTTTGTGTAGGTCATTTTGAAATAAATTCTACAGCATATTATTCTTTTTTAAAAAAAATAAATTACTTTTACGGGAAGCGATGACAGTTGTGTTCAACCTTTCCTTTCAACTTATTCCCGAGTCCGAAACGTCACCTGTCCGAGCCCAAAATTTCACCTGCCCAAGTCCAAAACATCACGGACATATTTTTTTTGAGTCTGAAAAGTTGTAAGCCTGAAATGACGCGGGACCGAAATTACATGTAATCTAACATATAAACAAAGGCCCCCAGCTCGATCACGGGTCAAGATCACGGTTGTTTAGCATTGATGACTGGAGGTCGCCATGACCTCGGGAACTAGTAGAGGTGGAAAAGTGCAATAGCGCCAATACTTGTTTGAAGGTTGTGCTATGTATATATAAAACCAGAGATTGTTTTCCTTATAAATTGTGTTGTGTTTTTTTTTTATTGTAGTCTCCTGTATTTGTCTCACATGTGCAACTTGTCTCTAGATGTTACACATCACAGCAAATGTTTTTGCTTTGGAATTATATTAGGAATCTGTTTAATAATAACCCATTCTATCATTAGACGGCTTCAACCCATTCCAAGCCAAGACTCTTTCAATCTAGGGCTCTCTGCCCTATGGCTATAGTGCTGGATTTTGCCAATTGCAGTCTCGATGAATCGTGATACATCCATTTAACAATGTATTGTGTCAGCACTACTACCCTACATACACAGTTGTAAAGCTTGATTATTTGCCTTTCCAAAGATATTTCTCCTACCTTTCTGTGACTTATTTAAACAAGATTATAAGGCCAGGTCTTCAACAACTCAATATTTTAATTTTGAGACAAGGCAAATACACCATTCACTCTATATTTTAGTGCTTAAATTTCATACACAGACTTTTATTTCTAAGACTTTGTTAAAAACTGGATGATCGCTTAGAGTGAAATTTTAGGGTTGCTTGTTATTGTGTTAAATATTTATTATTTCTATCTAGAATAATTGTAAAGTGCCATGTCAGAAGATTGTTTAGGGGGAGATGCAGCTACACTGAAGGATGTAGTTGAAGATGATGGAAAGACTGGTATCTTAGCAACCAACTCTAGTTCTACAGGAACTGGTACCAATGACCTTGAATCTGCTGATTATCAATTTGGAAATTCTTCCACTGGTGTAAATAATGAAGCCTGGAATTTAGACAGTTATTTACAAGCACAAGGGGAGGTAAGCAGCTAAGATACATGTAGTAAGAATATTGGCACTCCCATACATGTACATGCACATGCCAATAAGCCCAAAGTTATTAGAAATTTCAGACAGATTGATATGTTCATTAGAGAAAGCGATCCATTGCACAAACTCCTTAGTTTGTCCAATAGGCCAAACCAAAAGAATATTTGCATAGGAATTAGGAGACAATAAAACAGATCAAATTCCATTTTAATTGACATCGAAAAACGAATAGTAGAAAATCAGCCATAAAAAAACTATTTGAGGTTGAGGTTAAATTTTAATTGTGTCTACTACAGTATTTTGTTGGGTACATCTAAATTGTAAATTCCAGGTCTTCTAATTAATCTTATTCAAATTTATATTTTCACTTTTATTACTTTATTAGGATAAAAAAAAACCCGGCCATAAACGATTATTTGAATTCAAATACTACAGTATTTTGTTAGGTACATGTACATCTGAATCGTTAGTTCCAGGTCTAATTACTTGTTCGAACTTATATTTTCGCATTTATTATTTTTTTAGGATAAAAATCCGTTCAGTGGATTAAGTGAAGAACATTTAAACCAATTAGAAGATGTTTTATCTAGTGATGCTGTGAATTCTTTATTACAACAAGCGGAATTTCAAAACCTAGAGTCAAACTTAATCAGCTCAATGGAAGGACCAGCAACTTCATCCAGCTTTGGCTTTGATGAGGCCACAGCTCATCAGATAATTCAGGTATGGCAAGAGATAAATGTTGTTGTGACAAAAGAGTCGTGAGAGCACCATCATTATTTTAAAACGCCCAGATTGAAATGTGGTTGTATATTGTCGTCGCCCTTGTCCGTCGGCCTGTCCGTCTGTCCGGCATCCACAATTGGTTGTGGACACTCTAGAGGCTAAAGTTAATATCAGATTGACTTTAAATTTAAACACAGTGTTTAAGGTCATCAGACGAAGAAACCTATTGATTTTCAACGATTTCCGATAATTACTACAAGAGTTATGGGCCTTGAACACTTTGAAAAATCTTGTGGACGCTCTAGATGCTCAAGTTAATATCCAATTGACTTTAAATTTATACACAGTTGTTTAAGGTCATGAGACGAAGAAGCCTATTGATTTTCAGCGCGATTTCTGATAGTTACTGCCAGAGTTATGGCCCTTGATCTCTTTGAAATATCTTGTTGACGCTCTAGAGACTAAAGTTGATATCTGATTGACTTTAAATTTATACACAGTGTTTTAGGTCTGTCTCTGGATACGGTATATATGTAGAACTGTGAATGGGGTAGGAGCTTGTTTTTATGGTACTACTGTTCATGTAACTGATATATGTTTTAAACATTTCACTCTGTGGGGATGGGGTGGGGGGGGGTTGTAGTTTAAATCCTAGTGGGTGTGGATCGAGGGACACAGACGAATCTCGTTGTTCTCACATGTCAGGTGTAGCACCTTACATGGGAGGGGGCTGGCAAATAAAGGTTTGCCTAGACATCCACCCATTTTCACATTAGCAGGTACATAAAAGAAAATTTGACTTTTGGAATTTGATGATGATTAGTGAAGATGTCACCGTTGTAGCAGAATTCTCTTTCCTATCATTTCACATGTAATCATAGAAAATATAGTTTGAAATGGATAAATGAAGTATTGTGTTGATGAATGACAAGACATTAAACTGCTTTCTATGAGTTTCCTTATAAATCACACATACTTATCTGTAGTAATGAGCCTATGTTTAATGTATTACAGGAGGGTGTAAGAGAACATGAGTTAGCTGTAATAGCTGCAGCTTTCAATGATCATGCTTATGCCATGCCCTTAAATAGAGAACCAAGAGCCTCAACATCAGCTGTAGAAATTGACCTCACTCCTGACCCCACACCTAACCTTGAGTCTGATGATAAGAACAAAAAAGATGGAGACAGTGAAGAATCCCAACAACCTATCAGGTTAGTGTAAAATTGGTTCTTGTTGCAAACATAGATCATCTTCACAGTGTCAAGGTATTATGACTATCATAAGATATCTTGACTGCTTTAGACCACCAATGAGCACTTTCTTGGTGTGATCAGTGAGGTAATTTCCCTGTTAGTCAGTTGATATGACAGAAATCATGGACTGACCTTGATTAAATGTAGATTTCGAATTAGATACTTAATAAATGAAACCCTAACCAAAATCGTTTACTTATTTATTCCCAGTTGATAATTCTTTATAGATGAATAGGACGTTCAACCCCATTTCATTTTATAGATTCAAATTCCTGCTGCAGTATAGTCATTACCAACATCCATTCATTCATCCTCATTATTTTGTTTCTTTATCTTGCTGACTACCTTGACAGTCATGTAGACCAGTTCAATTAAGGTTGGAGCCACGGTGGCTAGGCGGGTAAGACGTTGGCTCGCTAACCTGGAGGTCGGGTGTTCGATCCCTGCATTGGCAGAGAAAGTTCATCCAGATTTTCCGGCATTGTTCCCCCTTGTCAATGGAGCCGGACAAGGGACAACGTATAGTCGTTCGGATGGGAGGAAAAACCGAAGTCCTGTGTACACATTGGCTTGCACGTAAGAGATCCCATGGCAGTTCGAATTCGATATAAGAGTAGGCGATAGTGCTGCTGTCTGGGCAAAATTTCCCTCATAGCACACTGTATGGCGTATGCCCGTCTTCATTAGCCCAGTTGGAGCAGAACAGTAGGACGTTAAACTCCATTTCATTTCATTTCAATTAAGGTTGATTAACAAGAACATTTGCATAGTGCATTACAAGACATATTTTGAAACAAATATTAGTTAGTAATTGTTTGAAGGGATCACCTGTTAATTGAGAACTACCAAAAATCTTGTACCTTCAAAAATATTTTAAATGTGTCGCGATTTTGTAGGAGATCAATTCGTATCAGTGATGCTGAACAACGAGAGATGGCAGAGAAAATTCTCCAAGAGAATCGACAGAAAGCACGAGAAGCCAATCAGGCTTTGGTGTCAAAAGATGAAGGAGAAGAAGAAGTAGATGGAAAAGAAGAAGTTAAAAAAGGAAAGCGTGGCCGAAAACCTAAAACTGATACAGATTCAAACAATCCCCTTAATACTAAATGGAATAAGGTATGGAATAATTATGACTGCTCCATATGAAAGTAGATGGGGAGTGGAGGCAATGAAATTGGAATGGGACCAAATATAGGCAATGGCGGCAAAGAGATAAATAGATGGGAAAGGGGCCAATAGATAGATAGGGGTAAATAGATAGTGCATGAAGCAAATAGGTAGGGCATAGGAGGAAATAGATAGGGCTTGGGAGGAAATGGAAGCAAATAGATAGGGCTTGGGAGCAAATAGATAAATGGGAGCAAATAATAGATATGAACAAATATATGGGGCATAAAACAAATAGATAAGGCATGAGGACAAACAGATAGATGTGGGCAAATAGATGGGAGCATGGGGCATGGAGGCAAATAGAAGGGAGCAAATAAATGAGGCATGGGGGCTAACAGATAGGGCATGGGGGTGCAAATAGATAGGACATGGGTCAAATAGATAGGGTATATGGGCACAAATAGACAAGGAATGGGGAGAAATAGATAGATTGGGGCATATAGTTAGGTTATGGGGCAAATAGGTTTTACCCTGATATTTTACAGAAATGACAATTCGTATCGTTTTTGCCTTATTTTATTGATAAGGATTTATATCACATAGTTTAAAAAGGAAAACTGTAGGAGATTCAAGCTAAAACTGATAAATAATTGTAATGATCCGAACTAACATTAAAACTAGCATAACAGTTACGATATTTGCAAAAATCACCGTTCTATATATATTTTATTCACAGAACAATCGTAGAACCCGATCCAGTAAAACTACAGAAGAAACTGACACTGGAGATGAGGTTGAGGGGGCCACAGACAAGGTTGATGGGGCCACAGACAAGGTTGAGGGGGCCACAGACAAGGTTGAGGGGGCCAAAGTGGAAGAAGAAACACCGACTCCTCCTACTCCTCGACCAGTTGGACTACGAGGGAAGAAAATTACTTCTGGTACAGAAACACCCCCTCCTATGAAACGCGTAAGTCGTGGAAAGTGGAAAAATCCACTCTTTAGAGACAGACCGGAAACACCCGACAGTGGCAGTGGAACACCGGTAAAAACTCCACAGGTGAAAAAAGTTGAGGAAACCACAGATTCTGATGCAGAGAAGATAACACCAAAACGCCGAGGACGAAAGAAGAAACAAGTAGATGAAGTAGAAGAGAAAGTAGAGGAAGGCAAAGGGAAAGTAGAAAATAATACACCCAAGAATGAAATGGCTACAGAGACAGGAGAAGGTTTGTCATTATAAATAAATGATTAGGGCCCCACCATCAGCGATAGGCTGATCAGTCTGTAAGTGTGCCAGTCCCAAATCATGTCAGCTCTGTATCTTAAAGATACATTATGTAAGATTTAGATAAAGAACTAGCCATTCTTGCTATAATAGTTCGAAAGTAGATGATGTAAAATGAATAATTGGAAAATTTCATTCAAATTACTCTATTGCAAGCAAAGATATTAGACTTTGAAGGTTTGACAGACGTGTGCAATAATTTCAACCACCGTACTGGTTGATCGAAGCTAAGTCTCGATCCTCGATATTTGACTAAATCAAAGTATCGCTGAACCATTCTAATCTATTTAATATTGGAGAAATCTGATGCCATCGAGAGTTGATTAAGGCCTGGATCAGTTAATTAATGTCTAATTAATACTTTAGAAAACATTTCAGGCCTAAAGAAAGACCTGCAATAGGCAGATTTAGCTCTTGCATAATGCATGTTTAAGTATTGCTTGGAGTTAAATGGTGATACTTGGCAATGATTGTTCAGTACACTAGTCAAACTTCTGGTGTATCATACCTGTATTACAAGCGGTACTCATAATACTGGGGTCCTCCTGTGTCTAATGACAATTAATACATTGTTAACACTACTGCCGACAGGACTGACTAGGAAATAGTATGTAATTATTAGCATGAAATCAACAAGTTAGAAGTGTATGTAAAAGATCCCTCGATACTTAGTTATGTTACCATGTGGATGCTCAATTGTCAGTTGGGAATGTGCCGAATTGACAGAATTTAGATCAAGTGACATATAATTTAATTTTGTCAAATTTAAGTTCCACCTGTCCTGAAAACAAATGTGTGAACATGATCATGATGTAATCAAATGTCCAGGCTATTATGATTGATCAAGTTTCTATCATATTCTGTTGGACTTGTGTAGAATCCACGTCCAACAAGAATATGAAAACAATGGATTGAGGAATCCGATACGGAAGTGTTCTTCACTAGATAAATATTAAAGTAGATAAACAAAAAAGACACTAGTACTGTTTTCATAGTCAGATATAATTAGACCAACGTTTCGAAAGGGTACGACCAACGTTTCGAAGAGGTACCCTCTTCGAAACGTTGGTCTAATTATATCTGACTATGAAAACAGTCTTAGTGTCTCTTTTGTTTATCTACTTTAATATTCTGTTGGCACAGAATGAACTGTTCATTTTTACTTGATTTACACTTTTCGAGGTAGAGAGATAATTCAATTCCGAAACTTTCAGTCAAGTATCCCCCATTACCATGTTCAACATGACTGTCATCATTCAGTTTTATTTAAATAATAAAAAAAATACTTGTTTAACAGAGGTAACTAAGGAGAGTAAAGTGAAAGTTAAGAAAGCAGTGAAAGGAACGAAGAAAGAAGCAATAAAAAAAGCAGTATTAAAGAAGGGTGGTAAAAAGGTCAAAGCAAAAGTAAAACAGGAAGAAGAAGTAGAATCAATAACACACTCCAGTGAAGAAGATGTTCCTCTTGGACAACTGAAACTAGATAAAACATCAAAACAAAAACTAAAATCTAAACCCAAACCTAAAGCTAAGGCTACTCTTAATAAGCAGGTTAGTTATAACTTTATTAACTAATTTATCATTCTTTTCCAAGGAGCCACAGCAGCTCAATGAGTCAGGTGCTGGCTTACTATCTGGGATATTTTAGGTTCGATCCCAGTGTTGGCAGAAAAAGTTCTTCAGAATTTTCAAGCATGATTTCAGCAAGGATGGTCTGGCAAGGAATGGTGTCTAATCGTTGGGACGAGAAACCGAGATCATGTGTACACATTGGCATGTGACTGTTGGAATTCGAAATAAGTGTAGGCCGTAGCGCCACTGTCCATGCATGCCCAGTTTGTTCAGAAAATGATATCAATCCCATTTCATTTAATTTCACTTCCTTTCCAAATCACCAATGGACCATCCATATAGCACTATAGAAAAATGAATGCAAGATGGTTAAATTGACTTAAAGATACATTATGTAAGATTTAGATAAAGAGCTAGCCATTCTTGCTATAATAGTTTAAAAATAGAAGATGCAAAATGAATATATTGAATATTTCATTCAAATTACTCTATTCTGAGTAAAGATATTAGCCTTTGAAGGTTTAACAAGATGTGTGCATTGATTGTAACCAACGCACTGGTTGTTCGAAGCTAAGCCTTGTTTCTCCATTTTAAAATTAAATTAAAATATGGCCGAACCATTCTAATCTACTTAATATCAGAGATATCCGATGGCATCAGGAGTTGATTATTGTCTTGTCATGTTAAGAAATGTCTTATTAATAGTTTATGTAACATTTAACACAAGGCCTAAAGAAAGAACTGCAATAGGCAGTTTTAAAGTATATGTTTCGTAATTGTTCCTGAATTTGAAATTCATGTTTTGATTTAAAATTCTTGTTTTTAGTTAAAAACAGAAACAAGTACTGAAGATGATGATGATATTCCATTAACTAAGCTTGTCAAAAACTCTCCAGCAAAATTGAAAAAGCTTAAAGCTGCTATAACAGCTAAACGTGGTGCTAAGTTCCTTCCCAAAAAGGTAAGATAAAGATTCATATTTATTTATTAATAATAGCTTGACAATATCAAGATTTTAAAGCACATCTTGATTGGTCTAATTTTCGATCTCAAGCTTGTGACAACATCGTGGGCTTTTTTCAAAGTCTTTTGGTTTCCTCCTACATCTAAAGACCCCTATGCGCAATCAAATTATTGAAAAATTGTACAACATGTAAGTCCCAAAATGACATGGTTTGTGTCGAGTGGATGTTAAACAGTTGTTTAGGTACTGGAAAAGTTTATTTATAGGAAGGAGAATATCAGTAGTTGAGTGTTCAGGATACTGGACTTTTGACTAAAATGTCCTGACTTTGATTCCTGGTGAAGACTTAGAGATACTATCAAGATTATGTCATGGATAGTATTTACACAGATGACAAGGAAAGTGTTACTTTTAGAAAACTGAAAAAGCCCTTGAATATTAAAATTCAGAAATGAAAGCAACATATTTTGAACAAGGCTGTTAAACACTTAATTTGAACTGGACTTAAAGATACATTATGGGAGATTCAGTAATGAGTTGGCAGTTCTCACTATAATAGTTAAAAACTAGATAATGTAAAGACAATTTGCTGAAAATTTCATTCAATTGATCCACTATGAACCGAGAACCAAGCGGTTGAAATTTTTGCCTAGCCTCGGATCATCATTACTAAAGTCTCGATTATCCATTTAATTGTTAAGTCGTGAAGGAAAGTTATGCAGTAAATCGGCTCATAATCTACTAAAGATCGCATAACCATCCAGAGTTGATTATGGTCTGGATAGGTTAATTAATGTCTAATTAATAATTTAGATAATATTTCAGGCCTAAAGAAAGACCTGCAATAGACAGATTTAGCTCTTGCATAATGTAGGTTTAATAATGTTTTGAATGGAGTTTAGCTTCTAGTTGACACTTTACGGAGGTAAAGGTAACATGTACAGTGCATCCAGCAGCCTTTCCACCTATTTTTGAAAATGTTTTATCTTTTCATAGCCTGGATTGACTGGAAAATCAAAACTACTTATGATACGACCACCCAATCAGATGAAAAAGAAAATATTACAGAAACAGAAATTGGCCGCAAAGAAAAAAAAGGAATCGGCCAGCAAAGACAATGAAAAGACAACAGAAGTTGAAGACAAGCCAGCTCCTGAAACACCCAAACCCGATGTTCCAAGCTCAGCAGATAAAATGGCTGCCAAACGGAAAGCACGGAAGTCAGAACCCGAAGTATTTTTAGATCCGACAATGACAGATTTATTTAAACCAGATGGAATGATTGTCCATGAACATGAAAAGGACGCACCAGTGTCACCAGACATTAAATTTGATTCCAAAGGTCTAAGAATACAGGAAGTAAAAACTGAAAAAGCAGATATCAAGGCAATTGACCCCAAAAAGTTTTATGAGATCAAAAAATATTCTGAGGTTAAAGGTGAAAAATCAGAGGTTAAGAAATTGACTGGAGTTAAAGGTGAAAAGCCAGAGGTCAAAGGTGAAAAGGTGGACATCAAGAAAACTATGATCAATGATGAAAAGTCTGAGGCTGATAGATCAGCTGTGGTTAAAGGTGAGAAAACAGAAATCAAGGTTGTGGATGATTCTAAGGTAAAAGGTGAGAAGGCAGAGATGAAGAAACTTATTGATGATACATCTGCTGTTAAGAAAGAGCGAAAAGACTCGGAGTCAAAAGACGAGAAAGGTAAAACCTTTGTGAAAGTAGAAAAACAGGGATCAGAGGTCAAAGTTAACAAAATTCACAAGCAAATATCCTCAAATGACAAGAATAAAAATGAAAGGAGATCTTTAGACGAGAAATCTTCTAATAAGTCTGAGAAAGAAAGAAGGGAAAGTAAGAACAGTAACGCTGAAGAAGATTCAAAATCTGGAACAACACAAACACATGATGCTAGTGGTAAGTAGAAATAAAATAGTTTGTTTAACAACATTTTAATAACACTGGGCCAACCATTTTAATAGATGATGATTACATGATCCACATGTGATTACAGATTCTTGTGCCATGTTGTATTATTGGTTTTGTCTACTTGTTGTTGTGTAGTTCTCCTGCTCCTTGTCACACGCAAGTGTGGATGAAAACCACCCCACTGAACTCTATGACAGATCTTATGATATGACGCTCACATGTTCTACCATTTGGCCATCCGAATTTGTCACTTTTTTACATGATTAAATCTAACCTGGACGATTTATATTTTGATTCTGTTTTCTTAATTAAATAATCAATTTAATTAAAATTAGCGTGGATTAAGCTGTGGCAAATTTGATACGATTAAATCTAAGCCGGAACACCATTGATATTTTGATTTTGGTTTCTTAATTAAATATTAAAGATACATTATGGGAGATTACATAACGAGTTGACAGGTCTCACTATAATAGTTAGAAACTAGATACTGTAAAGGGAATTTGCTGAAAATTTCAGTCAAATTGATCCACTATGAACCGAGAATTAAGTGGTTGAAAGTTCCGCCTAGTCTCGATCATCCTTACTAAAGTCGGTACGACAAACATCATAGTCTCGATTATCCATTTAATCATTAAATCGTGAAGGAAAGTTGTGCAGCAAATCGGATCATAATCCAACAAAAATCACAGGCTAGCGTTGACATCGAGAGTTGATTATGGTCTGGATAAGTTAATTAATGTCTAATTAATAGTTTATATAACATTTCAGGCTTAAAGAAAGACCTGCAATAGACAGATTTAGCTCTTGCGTAATGTATGTTTAAATAATCAATTTGACTTGATATTATTATCGATTTAGCCTGGTAAATTTGATATTAATTGAATTATTAATTAGATTAATTATGATTGTAGACAGTGAAGGTGGTATGAGCTATGAAGATGATGAGAATGATTCTGATTGGGATCCCGGTAATGATCCAGAAACACGCTACTGTTTATGTAATAAACCTCATAATGACAGGTAAATATGGTGTCAGCCACCCACAATACACATCATTTCTCTTACATATAATATAATAGGCCGGTTTAGTTTGTCGTCTGAATGCAAAGGTGGCGCACATACACCAGTTTAGAACCGCCAGCTCTCTACCAATCTTCGAGAAGACTTTTCTAAAAAAGCTGTCTTATAGGCAATAGGCAAATTAAGCTCTTGCAAAATGCCTTTTAAAATAAACATTGTTATTATATTCCAACAATAAAGTCAATAAGAACGTTCTTGTGCTCTTTTAGTTTTATGCATGATACAAAAGGTTGAGAATGATATATTGGTATGGTGATTCTCAGCCTTTAGAATCTGTAGCCGTTGGCAATAAAATATCCTTGGTCTGCACAGGCTTGCTATGGTCTCTCTTATAAGTAGTCATGCAACCAGTAAGGAATGGATTTTAGTGTCTAGTCAACACTATACTTTGGTCATTTTAAAAGATACAGTTATTTTTTCTATGGTCATGTGTGAAATGCTATGGAGTAGAATTTTGCCCAGACAGCAGTGTTTTTGCCTACTCTTCATCGACAGATGCTGCTCTTAAATCTTAAATGACCCAAAGGTTTAATGTCATAACTTCATAAAAACCCACGTCATAATGGTAGATAGTGTTAAAATATAGATAAGCATTTTAAAGTCATATAATTACAAAACAACTGTTAACTCTTAACTAATAAAAATGCTACTCAAGTTGGACATGTTGTTTAGATTAGCATTCCAGGCAATTAAAAATCAGTGAACCCGACCAAACCCAAACATCCAAAATTTACCTCTTTTTTCTAGTTAGTCCTAGAACATGGTTTTAAAATAACAGAACACAATTTTTATGGGAAACAATCACTGGTTTTATTCTAATAGCACGACGTTTCGACAAGTATCCTCTTATCGTTATCAAGCACTAAATGCCACTTAAAGATTATGGTTTTAAAAATCCTAAGATTCCACTCGCCCGACCTTGGAATTTAAACCCAGGCCATTCTAGTCAAGTAGATGTAAGAGAATTGTTTAAATGTTTTACTGTTTGTTATTATCAGGTTTATGATACAGTGTGATGCTTGTCAAAAATGGTATCATGGTAGCTGTGTTGGTGTATCAAAATCCATGGGTCAGGAATTTGAATCACAGAATATGGATTTTATTTGTCCTGTTTGTACAGAAGAAGGTAGAGAACCTGCTAAAAAAGCTCCAAAGGTAAATTTGATATGATTATCAAGTGTTTTGTTTTTAAAGAATATGACAATTATTAAAACCTTCAAGATTTTAAAATATTTTTACAGAAATTAATTGTTAATTTTTATAGAAAATGTGCGATTTTTTCAATATGAGGCTGGAATTTAGTTTGTATTCCCCAGTGCTCTGGAATGGCTATGTTTTGCACATACGAAAAAGCATTTGTTTGAATTGAAATGATCATATATTTGCCTCATAAATTACATAAACCAATCATTGAATAATAACAATACCTGGCAAAATAAATAACAAAATATTTTCCCACAGGAAAATGAAATATACTAAAACATATATAAAATATATTAATAATATCAAAATGGTTCAATATAGAACCAATGCAATTTAAACTTACATTAACTGTCCCCTTGTGCAAAAGATGGGGTATCTACTAATTGCTACATGTCTAATTGTAACATGTCTAATTGTAACATATCTAATTGTAACATATCTAATTGTTATATGTCTAATTGTTACATGTCTTATTGTTACAGGTCTAATTGTTACAGGTCTAATTGTTAAATTGTTATTTGTCTAATTGCAGGAATTCCGATCACCAGTACGACTGAAGAAGACAACGCAATCTGGTGGGGAAACTAATGTCTCAAGTACTAGCAATGAAACACCCAAAAAACACTCCACATCCAGTGATCTCCGAAAATCTGTAAGTGATTACATTAATAGACCTTTGATTTACAACAAGAATTAAATACAACAGTACAACAGAAGTGTTCTGGTCATGTGAGCTCTCGAAATGAGAAGTGATATAAGTTGTTCCAGAAACAGAATAAACGACTTTCTCAGAAATTAAAAAAAAGATATTTAGTTGGCAGATTGAATTGTCTTTTTGCCCAAGCCCTTACTAATTTTGTTGGATACATGCAATTTTGCACAAAAATATACATGTAGAATCATTGAAAATAATTAATAATGATACAGTCATGGGTGGGGATAGGGACTGGGGGAGTTAGGCGTCTAAAGCAAAGTAAACCATACTCAGACAGTGCCTCTGATTTTTCGAGCTAAAGTATGGTATTGGGCAGTATTCATTTAAAATTGATAGATTTTTATTTCTCTCCATATCATAAAGGGTTCCTTACTGTTATCTTTTCATTGTATTGTGTGCTTTATTTTTAATAGAAATTCTATTTTTTTAAATGTTTTACCTCTAAAGAGAATACAATTGATATGTAAGTATATTTGTATATTATTTATTATAGACCGAGAAAAGAACATATCAAGTGTGTGTCGGTAAATATTGTAAGAAAGAGGCTAGAGTAGGATCTGTTTACTGTAGTAATGAGTGTATTATACAACATGCTAAATTATCACTTAAATTATTACAACAAGATCGAGATAAAGTCACTTCTAAGGTAACACTTTAATCATTACATAGTTTTCAAAATAAAAGAGTAATAATTCTGCAAGGCCCCCACCTGGCCTTTATAAAGAATGTTTAATTAAATCTGTACATCAGACACCTAATTGTAAGGAAATAGGGCCTGACAAGGACAGCTGTCTAGTCGTTTGGATGGGATGAAAAACCGAGGTCCTGTGTACACATTGGCCTGCACGTAAAAGATCCCTTGGCAGTTGGAATTCGATATAAGAGTAGGCGGTAGTGTCGCTGCCCGGGCAAAATTTCCCTCATAGCACACTGTATGGCGTATGCCCGTCTTCATTAGCCCAGTTTAGGAGTAGAACAGTAGGACGTTAAACCCCATTTCATTTCATTTTATAAGGAAATAGCCTTATTTACTTTCTCTTGAATTTCATCTTAAATGATTGTCAATGCCAAAACAGTTTGTAGTACCGGTAGTTACTTAACTGTTTCTAATATTTCATTGATTACACTGGTAAGACTATCCACACCTTCTGTAAACTTTGCCAAGAGGTAAATAAAATTTAGGTCTCCCCCCCCCCCCCCCATCTAAGTTTTGTCACGATCATCAAGTATTTAAATTCTATTGCCATTATGAATATTACATGTAGTTATATCCCTTGAAAACAACTGAAAAATTTGATATTTAGTGAAAAATGCAATAATTGTAACATTATTTCATATTTTAAAAGGAATAAATCTTAAAATTTTGTTATATTTCCTATGTAGAAAGCTGAAGAACCTGATACTTCATCATCAAGTAAAGTAGGAACAGATAAAGTTGTTGTATTAGAGAGGAAGACAGGATGCATATTAAACGGACCTACAGCACCTACTGAATCCACCCTACAAGACTGGTTAGAGAAACATCCGACGTTTGAGGTTTTACAACCAACTGTCAATAAACCCCACTCGCATCATCATCATTCTTCGTCACATTCACATAGCTCTAGCTCCAGTAAGTTCTTCTTTCTTACTTCATTTTTTATGGCCAGCCTTTACTGGTTGGTGTCAGGGAGGTTGCCAACTTCTTAATCACAGAATCTGTTTGTCTCCTAACTGTTCTCACACCCGCTAGCCATTCGATCAACACATACCTAGCATGTTACATCACCCAATAAGTTTGTGATACCCTTACATTTTTGGCTTCAAGTTTGTGATACCCTTACATTTTTGTCCTACATGTGCCCAATGGGTGTTTTTGAGATAATCCAGTATATTTCTAGTAATATTGGTTATCTATACTTTCCATATATACCAAAATTGCCATACTTATATGGGGGTGGTGGATGGCCGAATGGTTAGCACGTGCGCAGGGAATCATAAGGCCTGTCATTGAGTCAACTGCCGTTGTAAGTGACAAGGATTAGGGTCGCCTGTCCAACCTCCTTGGTTTTCTCCGGGTCCTCCTGTTTCCTCCCACTGTTAAAGACCCCTCCCTACGCCCAAGCGAATTATTGAAATAAAAAAAAATTAAACCATATGTTAGTCCCGAAATGACCTAGTTTGTGTCGAGTGGACATTAAACCCCAGTTCTTTCTCTCTCTCCATACTTATATTGGAAATAACTACCTGATAAATATTTTAAAGCAGTTTAAAGAGACATTAATACATTCACCAATACAGGGCCGTAACTAGCTCAGAGCAATGAAGGGGGTGGTTAGAGCTTTCACCAATTTTTTCACAGTGGGGCAAAGCCCCCCCTGCAACTCCCCTAGTTATGGGCCTGCACCAATATCTTCATGTAATAATTTGTATTAATATAATGTTTCAGGACGAAGTAGCAGTAGTAGTAAAGATCGGCATAGCGATAAACATGATCGTGACCGGAAAGATAAACATCGAAAAGACAGGGACAAGGACCATAGTAAGCATAAACATGTCGAGAAAGATGGTGAAAGAAAATCAACAGAGAAAAAAGACGAAGGTCCTGATCCAATTAGAATAAATGTTAGAAAAAGTTTGAGGGATGCATTAGCCAATAGGTAAGTTTTCTTCTATTTGTTTATTCAGTCTTCCTTTCTGTATTGACAAAGACATGTTTTTCAGAGGATACAAAGAAGCCAGTGTCACACATATTATATTGGGTAAAATCTTTTGATTTACCTGTTTTTAATCCGATTGAATCCAAATCTGGAAGCCTAACAAGGTCAGCTGTCTAGTCATTCAGATGGGACAAAAAAAAAACGAGGTCCTGTGTACACATTGGCGTGCACGTAAAAGATCCCTTGGCAGTTGTAATTCGATATAAGAATAGGCCGTAGCACACTGTATGGCATATGCCCATCTTTATTAGCCCAGGTTAGGAGCAGAACAATAGGACGTTAAACCCCAGTTCATTTCATTTCCAAATCTGGAGATGATCTAACATTGATGTATGAAAGTTATTTTGTTGTTTTTGTTGTCAGAGCGGATCATGCTGAGTTATGAAGATTATTTGTTTGTTTTAATTTTGTTTATCAGAAATGATCATGCTGGTGGCATATGAAGATTATTAATCTATTTGTTTTTGTTTATCAGAAATGATTATGCTGATGGTATATGAAGATTATTGATCTATTTGTTTTTGTTTATCAGAGCTGATCAAGCTGATGATGTGATGTTATCAAACAGTGAAATCAAACATATATCACTCTCTATAGAGGAAGAAATGTACAAATATTTTAAAGATGTTGGACATAAATACAGAGCTAAATATCGTAGCCTTGTATTTAATATCAAAGATACTAAAAATAATGTAAGTACAGTCCTATATTTTTTAACATTCTCATAAAAATTCTCATAAAGATAACGTAAGCACGTTTTTGTTTCCAAATGTTATGTTTGTACAAAATCAGCATAAATATTCTAGAGAGCTTGCTTCTGCACTCTGTAGTATTATGCTTCTCACAGTTGGGCAGTTGCATATTGGACCATTCCAAGTGGCACATTGTACCTCTGGATTATGGGAGCCACAGTGACTAAGTGAGTAAGACGCTGGCTTGCTAGCGTGGAGGTTGCAGGTTCGCTCCATGTGTTGGACGTGAAAGTTCATCAGGATTTTCCAGTGTGGTTTCCCCATGTACGAGGTGCAGGATAGAAAGCCTGACAAGGACAGTTGTCTAGTTTTTGGATGGGACAAAAAACTGAGGCCCTGTGTACACATTGGCTGGCACGTAAAAGATAACTTGACTGTTGGAATTCGATGTAAGAGTAGGCCCATCTTCATTATCCCAGTCGGAGCAGAACAGTAGGAAGTTAAACCCCATTTCATTTCATTTTCTCAGGATAATAATAATCTAATATAAAAGATAAATGGGAAAATAATTAAACGAGTATTATCTATTTATAAAAATGGGTTGTGCAGCCCTTTTTATATGCTCACATGAATGTGTGGTTGTATATTGTCGTCGCCTCTGTCTGTATGTCCATCAACAATTTCTTGTGGACACTCTAAAAGTTACATTTATCATTGGATCTTTTTAAAATTTATATATGTTGTTTACATTAGTGAGATGAAGAAGTCTATTGAATTTTCGGTAATATCTTCTAGAGTTATGGCCTTTGTTATCACCTTATCTGCTTTAAATTTGTATGTATCATTTGAATTAGTGAAATGAAGAAGCCTATTGAATTACAGCAATTTCTGTTAATTGCCTCGAGAGTTATGGCCTTTGTTTCACTTTGGTGAACCTTGTGCACGCTCTATTGTGGACGATCTGTATTAAATTTATATGCTTCATTTAAATTAGTGAAACGAAGAAGTCTATTGAATTTCAGCAATTTCCGTTAATTTATTCTAGTGCTATAGTTAAGGTCCTTGTTTCACTTTGTTGAACCATATCAACGCTCTATTGTGAACATTCTAACAACTAAAGTTATCATCCAATCTGTATTTGAATTAGTAACACGAAGAATCCTATTGAATTTCAGAAATTTCTGTTAATTTCTTCTAGTTCTAAAGTTTTGGCCCTTGTTTCACTATGTTGAACCTTATGAACACTCGAATGACAAAAGTTATCATCTGATCTGTATGAAATTTATATGCATCATTTAAATTAGTGAAGCGAAGAATCGTATTGAATATCAACAATTTTGTTAATTTCTTATGGAGTTATGGCCATTGTTTCACTTTGTTTCATCTTGTGAATGCTCCAACGTATGAATTTATACGCACATTTAAATTAGTTAAACGAAGAAGCCTATTGAATTTCAGCAATTTCCAATAATTACTTTTTGCGTTATCACCCTTGTTTTACTTTGTTGAACCTTGTGAACACTTGAATGACGAAAGTTATCGTCCAATGCTGGAATGACGAAAGATATCATCCGATATGTATGAAATTTATATGCATCATTTAAATTAGTAAAATGATGAAGCCTATTGAATTTCAGCGATTACTTCTAGAGTTATGACCCTTGTTCTACTTTATTTATCCTTGTGAACATTTGGATGACAAAAGTTATCATCTGATCTGTATGAAATTTATATGCATTATTTAAATTAGTAAAACGAAGAAGCCTGTCAAATTTCAGCAATTTCCAATAATTACTTCTAGAGTTAAGGCCCATGTTTCAGTTTGTAGAACCTTGTGAACCCTCAAATGATGAAAATTATGATCTGATCTGTTTGAAATTATCTTGTAAATGCCCCCAATTGGACGATTTGGCTGCTATGGGCGTATGTTTTGTTGCCTGGCAACCTATCTTTTCTTGATGTGGAGGTAATTGAGAACCAGGCTATTTTTTTAGTATCTTGTTCATGTATTGAATTGATCACCATTATGTATTGTATTTTAGGGTTTATTCCGTAAAATTCTAAGTGGTAAAATTCGGGCTTCTAAACTTGTGCAGATGTCATCTACAGAATTGGCATCCAAGGAATTGGCAGAGTGGAGGAAAATGGAAACAAAACATGTAAGTTGCCTGTCTATAATAACACACACAAGATAAACAACTAAAATGAATTAAATGGTCATTGTCTAATTGATAAGTTAACATAGGGCATCTTTTCTATGTATTTGCTACAAATTACTCTGAGACCTTTTGTACATTTAATGACCTAGACACATCAAATTCAAAGGTTCCATTGGGAATTGAACCATAACCACTCTATTAATTTGCACTTTTAATATGGCATTCATTTTATTCCGGTTTTAAGTGATAGCTATCCCAGAATTAGAAACACTTCTTGGAATAATTCTGAATAGTATATCTAAATCTACTTCTTATTTATTGTCACTTGCTAACCATGTATTTTTTCTTCCATTATCCAGACATTAAAGATGATTGAAGAACAAGAAAAGAAAGCCATGAAAGAACATGTTCATATACGTAAGAAAACTCACAAAGGTGAAGTAGAACTTGATGAAGATCTCAGTACTTTAAGGGTATGTACATGTACAGTATCCTGTCAGACGTAAATTCAGGTTTTGTCAGGCACCATCCGTCTGGTGACTGTTATTTAGTCTGACCTCTGATCTGAATGATATTTTTTATACATGCTCGACACAAAGTTCAAAATGTCCGGTATTATTATTAGTACCTGACATTTTGTGCAGGAAAACTATAGCCATTTTTTCCAGGCCCGAGTATTTACTAATCTTTCTTCTCATACATAAGCTTGTAGTAATAAGCCCATGCCAAATAATATTATGAGAGGGATATTAAAATGGGCTCCATCCACCCAACTGTTTAATCTTAGATTATCAAAGATACTATAATACTAGAACACTTAGTATGGTTTTTAACTGTCTTCTCTTACATTTCATTGATTACACATTAATTACATCCAAATCCATGTCCATATCGAACTATCAGATAGCTTCCCTAGCAACAGAAGTTCTAGTAGCACATGCATGTCCATATGAAACAGAAGTTAATTATTGAATGTCGGCACCAAACGTCCTTCATTCCTGGTTCATAATATAGGGGCTAGGAAACCCGCTATTATTATGTTATTATCATGGACCGAATCAAGTTATCATAGATAAATTGAAATAGGCTCTATCTTGTTAGGTTATGTTTTCGAGAATATTTTGTAATCGTTCAAAATATCTTTATCAAACTTGGTCCACACATCTGCCTTTCCATCCGTCTGTCCCAATTTAGTTTCCGGAGCATATCTCATAAATGTTTTATAGTATTTAATTACTTTCTGATGTATAAACTTGTTGTTTAACATACAGCAGCTGATCGAGGTAGGCAATGGTTGTTGTGCAAACATTACAAGGAGCATAGGCGTACGAGCTGGGGGGGCGGCCGCACCCCCCATTTTGGGCACCAAATGCTGGGAAAATTTGGGCACACAATTGTACTTTGTAAAAGTTGTATAAAAAAATATTGTGTTCTTGAATGTGTCCAATTTAACAGCGAATTTATTATTATTATGTAACATACTAAGAACCTAACTACATTTTTTGGGCACCAACCACCACCGCCCCCCCAGTCAAAAATTTCCCCGTACGCCTATGACAAGGAATAGCGACTCTGCCTTGCCCTGCTACTGTGATCAGAGTATGAATCTTTTGACTATTCCCATTGATATTCCAAGAAGATATTTTCCTTATACCTTCTAAACAAGTGCGGGGATCACGTGGCTAAGTAGGTAAGACGCTGGCTCGCTAGCCTGGAGGTCCGGTGTTCGATCCCTGCATTGGCCGAGAAAGTTCATCCAGATTTTCCGGCGTGGTTTCCCCTTGTCAGTGATGCAGGAAGGAGGGCCTGACAAGGACAGCCGTCTAGTCGTTCAGATAGGACAAAAAAACAAGGTCCCGTGTACATATTGGCGTGCACGTAAAAGATCCCTTGGCAGTTGGAATTCGATATAAGAGTAGGCTGTAGCGCCGCTGCCCGGGCAAAATTTCCCTCATAGCACACTGTATGGCGTATGCCCGTCTTCATTAGCCCAGTTTAGAAACAGAACAGTAGGACGTTAAACCCCATTTGATTTCATTTCATTTTCTAAACAAGTGCAAGGACGCTGGATCTTGTTTATTATTGTGATGACCATGGTGAAATTAACTTTTATTAACTTTTATTACTTGCTTGTTTAAGACTAGAGAATAAAAGATGAATTGTTATTTACATTTATATAGGATGAAGTAGAGAAACCCACTCCAGTAAAATCAAAGATGGAACCTAAAGCAGATCTATTATCTGAACTTATAGTAGATACTACAGATAAACATCGTACACATCTCTTCGATTTAAACTGTAAAATATGTACGGGTAAAGTGGCTCCACCTCCACAAGATGATGTGTCTAAAAAGGTATTTTATCAACATATTGCTTCACTTTGGGATTGGGTGTTGGGGGGGGGGGGGGCGGTGTTGGATGGCCGAATGGTTAGCTCGTGCGCGCTGTATCATAAGGTCTGTCATTGAGTCAACTGACGTGGTTTCAATTCCCCGGTTGTACATGACAAGGAGTAGTGTCGCCTGTCCAACCTTGTGGGTTTTCTCTGGGTCCTCCGGTTTCCTCCCACTGCTAAAGACCCCTACGCGCAAGCGAATTATTGAAATAAAATTAAACCATATGTTAGTCCCGAAATGACCTAGTTTGTGTCGAGTGGACATTAAACCCAATTTCTCTCTCTCTCTCTCTCTCTCTCTCTCTCTCTCGCTTCACTTCAGATGAAATGTCGGGCATTTTGAAAACACATTATCGATTCCATGATAAAAGTAATATTTACAAAGATTGAAATAGAAAATTTTGCATTATTCAGCATACTCTGCAGACAATATGAATAAGCTTTCCTTACCTTTGATCCTCTTTTTAATCTGATTTAATCTTAGCTGGGGGATTATCTACCATTCATATTTTACGTAATCAATTTATGTACAATTTAGAGTACATTAATCATTGACAAATTATACATTGTATGAAAAATGCAAATGTCGAGCAACAGCTTTAAATCAATTTTATTGGCAAGTGTTCTGTACTGTAGCGAGTAAATCAAATTACTATATATTTCTGTTTTGATCTATTATTAGGCAACTGTGGCTCATTCTATTGGCAGGTTTTCTGTACTGTAACAAGTAAAACAAATTACTATATATTTCTGTTTTGATCTATTATTAGGCAACTGTGGCTCATTCTGTAAAGGGAGAGAAGAAAGAAGAAGATGAAGATGTGAGTAAGGCTGATATAAAAGAGGATTTAGCCAAGGTAGAAGAGGTTGTTAAGGAAGCTCTAGCTAATGTTAATAAAACGAAAGTAGAAGTACAAGCTTCATCTAAAGTTATTGTCAGGTAGATCAAACTTCATAAATATTTTCTCTGTGTGTGTTAAAAAAACCCTTGACATTTGGGTTTCAAATAAGAATAGGTTTGGAAGCTGCTGCCTGCACAAGAGTCTCTGTCCTCCTAAACATTTAATTGTATTTTACCCTAATGTTATTGGCAGGTAGATCAAGCTTCATAAACATTTTCTTTGTGTGTGTAAAACAACACTTGGCAGTTGGAATTTAAACAAGAATAGGTTGAGACACTACTGCAATAGTCTCTTCCCTAAATTGGACCTAAATTTCCCTTCTAAGATAATAAATATTTGTAAAATCAGTGGGGGTTGGGTGGCTGAATGGTTTAACGTGTGCATGTTAGTTCAAAAGGTCTGTCATTGAGTTAAGTGGCGTTAGTCCCAGAAATGATCTAGTTTGTGTCGAGTGGACATTAAACCTCTCTCTCTATCTCACTCACAGAGCCTCAGATTAATATTATGATGAACGGTAAGAATATATTACAATGTGAGGGGTCTTCAAACAATGAACTGTGTTTTTTCCAGTTTGTAACAATTTGTGTTTTATTGTTTATATTGGTGTCCTTCACTTTCTATCATAATTCACCAGCAATATTCCATTTCTATTATAAATTTGATTGGTTATTACAGGTCACCTGATTCAGCATTACAGTCTGGTTTAGAAGCACGAGCTAAGTTCACTCCATCAGGTCCTGTATTATGGAAAGGTTTTATTCACATGCAGGAGTTTAATAAATTCTTCACATCTGCTTATAAAGTATCAGGTCCTGCAGATACTCTGGTAAATATTCCTGGTATTTTTGTGTATATTAGGGTCTGGGGAGGATGTATTGAGCATGTGTAGTGAAATAAAATACCAGTTTTGATTCTTTGTGGTGCCACCACGGCTCAGTGATTACGGAGCAAGCTTGCTAATAGGAGATCCTGGGTTCGATTCTGGGTGTTCCTTAGGATGCGCCTCACATATGTGGAGATTTTTTAAAACTATGATGAGTTTGACCGCCTCGGCATCCTTGATATCAACTTTTATCAAACGGAAAGCTTTTAGGTCTACCCTCCTCTAAGAGTTGTTAATTTTTCACTTGCTGTTTCTCATACTATATGTTGGGACAATGTAATAGTATCAGTATCAATATTGACTAAAATGGGGCAACCCATGATGATAGAGTTTTGCTGCGAGTGGAATCTGGCGTATATCTTTATATCTTTATATCTTTATAATCGTTTTCCTGCAATAATGTGAATTCTTAGTGAAACTAAATAGTTTTAAAGACAAAAGTAAAACAAAACTTTAGATTGTTTGTGGTGTGTCTTTAGAATAACTCTTGTCATTCATTTGTTTTACAGTGTATAGCTGATACTATACAGATATGTGGTAGAATTGTACCAGAACAAATCTGGGATTATCTTTCAAAAATAAAACAGGCTGGTTCAAGGGTAAGTTTATATTACCTAAAACTTCAATTTAACATAACTTTTTCAGTTAAGAGCTCATTTAGCTTTGATTGTATGGACAGCTATGTCTATAAAAATACATGTATGTAATATTCTGATAAAATAGAATCCTATTTTGTGTAATATTTGGTAGGGCTTTTTCTGTTATCTATCCCAATAGAAAAATTTGAGTTTATTGCAGAAGGTGTGAAGGTCGAATTGTTCAGGCCACCTGTGTATTCCAAATAATTACTTATTTTACGACCGATAAGAAATAAATTATTTTTTAAAATCAATTTTGTCCATTAATCACATTTAGACATTGCTAATTTTACAAGAGTTGTTAAACTTAACAAATTCTACAGTGCTAAAGTAAGGGTAGTGTAAATCATCCATTAATATAGTTATGGTTGTATATTTGTGATTAATATAATTATCAGGGCTGCCGACAACCAGTATCGCAGCGCAATTTGCGATACATATTTTGCCTATTGCTAACCAAAAATTAAAATCTAACGTTTTTGATTCGCAGTTACTGCGAATCATTAATATGCCTGTCATTTTGGAGTTTGACACAAGAATAATCCACATTTTGAAGACTAGAAGGCTTACTCAACACTTTCAACGTGTATAAAATGTTGAATAAAATTTTATAAACAAAACTGAATTCTCCGTGTGACATTTTCTTCTCAAATTACCCAGACACAATACTATATAACACAGGGACATAACTCTATGAATAGGGACTATTAAACCGGAAATAGGGAATCAAGTAGTACCACTCACATTGCGAGACATCAAGTAATTATCATATTCATTTTGAAAGAAATAAATCCAGTGTATCCCCCATGCATTGTAAATAAAATATAAAAAAATAAATACATGTTAACGTATTGAAAAATGATAAATCAAAGTAAAAATTCCCTTAAAATATTATTGTTTATATCGCGTGTGTCTAGTTAATCGAGGTGCGCCCGATTGAACAAAAATAGTAATACACGATAAAAAGCAGACAAATTGTTTTCTAACGAAGATTTCTAACGTGACAAAAAATAACAATTAAAATGAGTGGGGCTTCGGAAGTCACTTTCAAGAATTGGCTTCAGACATAAGACCTAACTAAAAGTCTACATCACATTCACAAACTGTCACAAGTACTTGTGGCAGTGCTAAAAAATCTAAGAATTTAAAGAATAGTCAGAATGGAATCTAATCATATTTGTTATGAATTAAAGTAATATCTTGTTATTTAGGTGTTTTACGTTGAAACTGAAAAACTGCTAATCAATTTTTAAATTTGCTAATCAAATTTGGCAAAATTGGACTTTTTGATTAGCAGTGCTGCTAATCAACTGTGAAAAATTACCAACAGCCCTGATAATTATGGTTGTACATTTGTGATTAATATAACTGTGGTTGTATATTTGTGATTAATATAATTATGGTTGTATATTTGTGATTAATATAATTATGGTTGTATATTTGTGATTGATATAATTATGGTTGTATATTTGTGATTGATATAATTATGGTTGTATATTTGTGATTGATATAATTATGGTTGTATATTTGTGATTAATATAATTATGGTTGTATATTTGTGATTGATATAATTATGGTTGTATATTTGTGATTAATATAATTATGGTTGTATATTTGTAATTAATATAATTATGGTTATATATTTGTGATTAATATAATTATGGTTGTATATTTGTAATTAATATAATTATGGTTGTATATTTGTAGGATATTTGTGTAATTAGATTTATACCAGCCAGCGATGATGAGAAGGTGTCGTATGTTAATTTATACTCCTATCTCAACTCTAGAGGGAGGTGTGGTGTGGTGGGAAACATACCTAAACATGTTAAAGATTTTTATATCATCCCTCTAGCATCACATAGTCGTATTCCACAGTTACTTCTACCTTTTGATGGTCCAGGTATGCATTACTCACAAGTAGACAGAGAAATAAAAAAAATGAACACCAAGAATTGGTTTAGCACTGAGCATGTATACTACAATAAGATTGCTATAAAGGCAGCACTAAATAAACCCAGTGCCAAACAAATATGACGTGATTTCACACTAAACTGGTTTCTTATAACCTATATTAAGATCTCATATACAGTGTAAACTGACATCAGGTCCATCTGCAAACAGTAAAAGTTACATTTATACTGTGATCATTGCATTTGTTTACGATTATGCGGTCAGTTTAGAAAATGACAAAACATTCTCAATGTGTGGCCTATATCTGTCCACTCAAAAAAGAACAATAGTGCTTTGATTCTCGATTATAGTTAGTCTTGTTTGCTCCAGCTAAATCACTTGTGAACACTCTACAGACTACATTATTCGCCTGATCTTTTTAATTTTACGTATGTTATTTACATTTGTGAGTCGCCAAAGCTTATTGAATTTCCAAAGTTATTCCCCTTGATCACTTTGTAGAATGCTGTAGCAACAAATGTTAAAATTTATACGAGTTGTTCAAGGACTATTGAATATCAAAAAGTAATTTCATTACTTCAAGAGTTAATGCTCTTGCTTACTTGATAGAATCTAGTGAACAGTCTTTCGAGAAAGTTTATCATTCAATTGAATATCTTGGATTTGAAAAAGTTTGATTTATAAGATTATCTATCCAGCATCTTTTGCTCTGGTTTACTTAATTACAGCATAACTAATAAATTTTATAATTCTTGGGCTGTCTGGTTTTCCCTTTAAATGAAACAATCATAACAATAGTTCAGATTTTTTTAAGGGTACATGTAGGCCAAAACCTTGCACATGAAACAAATGTCTCTAAATTTACAGAGATTATAAGTTTTAAATACATATTGGCTGCATTTATGACACATGTAGATTAACTGCAAGGCTAACTAAGTTACACTTTTTCAGAAGTACAATTTTTGTTTCTTTTTCTTCAGGTTTAGAAGATAATCGTCCTCATATGTTAATTGGAGTCATCGTACGACAGAAAACCAAACCACTGAAACCCATTAAAAGTATTTTATCAAAATCTAAACACTCCACATCTTCGGAGACCAGTAGTTCCTCTGCAAAGAAAGCTAAACTATCGCTAGACGATGAAAACTCTCCATATGCCTACAAGCCCAAAGGTGAAAGGCGATCTTCATCCACACCCATTTATATTCCAACAGCTGTTGGGTCTGGATCAGGGTCAGGATCAGAACCAGGAACACCAGCTGGTTACAAGGAGAGTCATGATCCAATCGTTAAGGCCTTTGCCAATGAAGAGGTGGCACTAATAGAAACAGAGGATTCCTCGGCTAATGATGCATCAGAAGGTAAAGAAAATTGATTGAAAAACTCTGTTTATTAGCCCTTGTTTAATTGAGTCATTAAATAAATGTAGTGAGAGTTATGTGTATTCCTCTCGACTTCCATGGCTAAACAGCCATGTGTGAAATTTAACATATGTAATTCCTGAAATGTCATAATTGTTTTGAGCAGGCATTAAACCAGTTTATTTAATTTAGTAACATAGTTAAAATTATTTTGTGAAATTAACTCTGATTTTCTTTTTTTTCTTCTCTTTTTTAAGCATACTCACCATCTAAAATAGCTGAAGAAGAGGAACCATACGATCCTGAATTGGAAGAAGCTAAGGGACCCAAATCGGCTCCTTCATCTGCCATGTTACGAGCCATGCAGTCAACTTTGGCCTCTCTTGAAACTGAACCAGCTAAGTCATCCCCAAAGTCATCCAGTAAAAAGACTAAAGTTACATTTAGTCTCCCATCATCTGGATCCACTACTGAACCTAAAACAACTGGTCCTTTTAGTAATAGTTCCAAAGAGAACAAATCTTGTATAAAGTCCCCTGTTGCAGAATCCCCTCCTGATGTATCTTATGTGCCCACAGTAATTGTGCCATTAACCTCAGAAGAGTCAAGCCCAACACAGCCAAGCCCAACACAGCCAAGCACAGCCCAGCCAGGCACAGCCCAGCCAGCCACAGAACAGCCAGCCACCACAACACCCCATTCACAAAAGACGGCATTTAACATTGAGAAATTGGTTCAACAAATTGCCAACAGCACAAATCCAGCAGAAATAACAGCTTTAATGGTCACTGCCCTTGCTGCTTCTAAAGATGCATCAAATCAGCAAAAAGTTTTAGCAGATCTCACAAAAAAGGTGGAAGAACAAAAACGTCTATTGGCTAAGAAACGAGCTGAAATTGAGATGGTGAAAAAATCATCTACAGTAGCCCTTTCATCATCAACAAAGAAAACAACCACTAGTCCACCTCCAGAACCTATTGTGATTGATCCTCCAGCTAAACCCAAAGAAAAAAATAAGAAAGAACTTCCCAAAGCTGATATAGCACCTGTCTCAAAAGTCCCAATCTCAAAGGAGATACCAAAACCTGTCTCAACTTCAGTTTCATTATCATCTAGCTCAACTGCTAAAATTGAGAGCATTGCTTCAAAAGTGGAAAGTATTTCAGTGTCATCAATGAAACATCATGAGATGCCTTTAGCTCTTCAAGCTTTGATGAAGGATGTTATGGGACATGGAAGTGAATCTGGAATCAAATCTAAAAAAATCCAAAAGGAAAAAGAAGAACTTCAAGAAATTGAAACAGCAACACCACATGAAAAGGATAAGGATTCATTAGCAATATTCAAAAATGTTGAAAATCGCGATAAAAATGTTATTCCGGGATTAGGTGATTTGCCCATAGCTGCTATCCTGGAACAACAAGAGGTAGTGAAAGAGCTTGAGGGGGCAGTAGTAGCAGCAGCATTAGCCGTCGAAGTTGGTACTTCATCCGAAGTTCAGCCAACTATGATCGACGAAGCTTCATTGGACAAAGACTATCGTAATGAAAAGGACAGTAAATTACAAGATGTATCTGGCAGCTCAGAAGACAAGGATGAACGACAGGCGCATGCTTTGGATAAAGATGATAGAATTGTACGAGGGATGTTGCCAAGATTTATTCCAACGCAGACAAAACCAGAGTGGCAGAATAGTTCAACCTCTGACCCATCTTCAGCTTTTCCAGCTACTGCTGATGTTGACCATCGTAAGATTCCAGTAGGAACTCCAGGACCACCACAGTGTGCAGCAGTACCCCCTGTAATTCGTCCACAGCCACCTAAAGAGGGAAATTTTAGGCCCATTGCTAGTCTAATTCCTGATACTGGAAATCAAGACATAGATCATAGAAAGATAGATGGTCCTTTAAGACCTATTGGAGGTGACCCATTTGGATTTGGTAGTCAAGATGTGGACATGAGAAGAGTTCAATCTGGACCATTACCACCAGGATCAAACCAAGGGTCAAGACCTCCTTTCCCAGGCGCCTATCCCCAAAATAAAGGCAATCTACCCCCTTTCCCAATGAATCGTCCCCCATTTAGACCTCCTTTTTCAGGTCCTGAAATCAGACCTGAGACCACAGGAGATCAAAGATTTAGGGGACCTGCTCCTGGCGTGTTTGGACCAGATGGTGTAGGTGTAGATCAGGGACTAGGAATACCTATGAAGCGTGGTCCTTCCTTCCATGAAGGTGAACCTGGAGGAAAGAAACCAAGATTCCCTGGACCTCCGGGTCCTGGTGGGTTCCGACCACAGCCAGTTCCGACAATAAGGTTCTCTCCCAATATCAGAATTCCTAAAGTTCCTGCTCCCCCTGGAACTGAACCAGTTGTTCTCATGCCACCAGGTATGCCCCCATTACCAGACGAACCTCTTCCACCCCCTCCTATGCCACCACCATTACCCAGTGATGTGAAAAACGACCAATCTGACAAAGTTGTGCCGCCAGCAGCTAATGTGGCCCCACAAACCAATAAACCGGTTTCAAAATCAGACAATGTTTCACAGGCCAAAGATCAAGATAATCGTGAAGGCAATAAAATACCTAGTCACCGTAGTGATGAACGTAGAAACTCTCGGGACCGCGATCGCGATCGTGATCGTGACCGTGATCGATATCATTCCCGTCACCGACATCGTGATCGGCATCACGATCGACATAGAGACAGAGACTACAGGTCACGAGACGGCCGAAGGTGAATTTAGGGCATTACATCGATTCTTTTATTTTTTAAACAATTTTAATTCTAAAGTATTCGTGAAATTGAAGGACAGCATTTAAGAAGTGCTTTTGACTATTTTGTCAACTGACATCCAAGTTTTTATTCAGATTTGTTTCATTGTTATTGAAGTCACATCAGTTGACCATTGAATGATATTAATTATGTATATAATTCAGTGTTTACAAACACCATATCTTAATACTGCGAAGTTTCGGTGATATCGTGTTGGATGTGATTATGGAAATAGTTTTATTTCTTCGAAAACTTTGGGACACACAGCCGGAAACTGTTTGAAGAATAATCAAAGTTCTGATACAGTAGCTGGATGTCTTTAATTTCAGCTTAGTGTGAGAAGTGTATTTAATAGGCTGTACAATTGACAACCTTTCAAAAAGGCTTATTTTGTAAATTATGATAGCGTACAATTTATTTGAAGAAGTATCATAGGATTAGTGTATATTGGGAATTCAGCTTATTTTTGGGGTGCTAGTACTTAAGGTGAATGTGGTAGGAGATTGTTTTCTGAATATGTGAACATTGTTTGGACGGGCTTTACAGTATGTTGGGGATTGAATTTTAAAAATTAAAAATCTACGTAAGACCACAGCGAGAACTGGTATATTGCTGTGTATTTGCAAAATTAGTTCTTATCTGGGAAAACAAACACTGTTAAAATTTG